TTTTACATCTTGTGTCTTTATTTTCAAGGAAATGATGTATTTCTTCTCAGCACAAACTTGGTCTCTGCTTTTTATGTTTATCTTTCTTTTTCTGTTGTCTCTCAAGATGAACAAAGTAGCTGCCACCCAGTCCATCATTTCCCCAGAGGGAAGTGTCCTGGCCTGGACACTAATGCCAACCATGAAACAAACACTGAGGGAGCACCTACTTGGGGCATCCCCAGGCCAGGCAGTGGGCATGAAGTAGTTGAAGATACGCTTCAAGAGTCTGTCTAATAAATCATAGTTTTAACCTCCTCTTTGATCCAAAAGTTTTAGGTGAGGGGTGTGTGTGTGTGTGTGTGTGTATTTCATAGCACAAAATAAGGAAGTGAAAAGACGCCTCTGTGGTCTTCTTCAAAGTCCATAACCCAAATCTAATCATGAGAAAAACATCAGACAAACCCAAATTGAGGGATATCCTACAAAATACCTGACCAATACTCTTCAGAAGTACCAAGGTCATGAAAAGCAAGGACAGACTGGTAAAATCCTAAAAAAAAAAAAAAAATCTGTAGTTTAGTTATTAGGATCACACCAGTGTGAATTTCTTATTTTTGACAAATATACCATGGTTATACAAGATGTTAACATGACGGTAAGCTGGATGAAGGGTATATGGGAACTCTCTGTACTATCTCTGCCACTTTTCTGTAAATTTAAAATTATGACAAAATTTAAAAAAATTAATAAGAGAATGCATAAAAATGAATCAGTAGTTAAGCAAATATTCAAGCTGGTATAATCCTATTTGGAGTTTTTTCCCCCTAATAATCAGTAAAACAGATTGAAAAAAAAGACTAGACACATCCATAGCAAAATGTTAATAGATGTTAGTGCAAGATAGTGATAGATAATTTTACTTTTGTTTCCTGCATTACTCAATTTCCTTCCATGAATATATTTATTATTAACTTTGTAATAATTGTTTTAAAAATAAAACATTATTTTACAAGTCATGTGGAGAAAAAGTGACCTACACTCTGTCTGTGGACCCGAGAAGGCCCAGAGGCCAGAAGATGCACGCATTATAATTCTGTCTGGAGCTGAGGAGAAATGAGACGAAGCCCTGGAGAGAAGGGAGGGAGCTTTCCAGGAAAGTGGAGCATTGGAATGCAAAGCTTGTTCAGGCTCTGACACATTCAGGGGGACACAAAGGCCTTCAGCACTTTTGGCAGTAAGTGCTCTCCCTGCATGAGCAAGAAAAGCATCTCGGCGGAGTCAGTCACCTCTCTCTGGGTCCTCCCTGCTGACAGTCAGGATGCAGGAAATGTTTTCCAGGTTTGAGTGGCCTGTTGCCAATCACTGAAAGGGAAATAGCAGGAATGTGGTCTGGCTGCCTGGTGTGAACAGGGCAAATGCACATGTGGGTGGCGGGCAGGGCAAGATGGCTCTATTCACTGGAGGCGATGACATGCCAGGTCCCAAAGTAAAGGTGAGCTTAGGGTGGTCCAGTGACAAGCGTAGGAAGCACGGCTGCTCACACACAGCAATGAAAGGCTCGCTGGTGAGTTTAGAAGCGACCAGACTGAAAGGCATTTTCAGTCAGCAAAACAGATAGGTAATATTTCTCTTCTCCACCTTCCAAAGGTCTTGATGAGGCCATAGGACCAAGGAGAATCTTTTACACCACAAGTCAGTCTCTTTCGTCTGACTAACCAGGGAACGCAGAGATTCAAGTTCCTGGCAGTCACCCAGAAACTTAAGGAAGGGGATTTGGCAAAATGCAGCAGTTTCTGCAGGATTCCATCTCATAATCTTGATGAAAGTGATGTTGAGTCATTCCTTCATTCCCTTACCTTAATGCATTCATTCTTAAAACCAATGTTTGTTGAGCATCTGTTTTGTACCAGATTACAACAATCCCAATGTGCCCTCCTTAGGTAAACTAAGAAACGGGTAGAGGTGGACTAAAGTGGAGGTCTGGAAGGAACAGAGCATTGCAGCAAAAAGTGTGCTGAGCCCATGACTTAGAGAGGTCCCTAGGCAAACCAGCAGCATTGTATTTTATATGACATGGCCTCAGCTTTTCCAGATTCATTACACTCTTCTCTTAAAAGAAAAAAAAAAACTATAGCAAAAGAAGAGGTCTTTTCAGTGTCAAAAGGAAAACTCAGATGTCACTGTAGCTTCAGAAACTTTCTCTAATTGCTACGGAATGATGGCCTAAGGGCAAAGGGCAAATGATAGATGCTTTTTTGACTATAATGACTAGCTAGGAAGTTTCAAAGAGCATTTCAAAAGAGTTTAGGTGGCAGAGCACCTGGACCTGGATGTCATGAGACCTGGAGTCCTTTCCCAAATCCCCAAATTTCTCTTTTATATGGGTGGTCCTGCTACCTACCTCATGGGGTCATTGCAAGGTTGAAATTATGTATGTGACTCATTCAGCACTTGTCTGGCACATACTAAGACTCAACAGATGTTAGATATGAATTTAATACTGAAGTACTATGACATGTTGATATGTTAAATTCCATCACATAAACTAACTTTACCTAATGAAAATATGACCGTGTTCCAGGTATGCAGGAATTCTTTACCTCATTAAAAATACATAAGTTATTAAACACTTTCTTGAATGTTTAAAAATTCATATTCACTTAACACTTGTGTATTTGTTTATCTGCCAGCTGACAAGCAGGGTCAGCTACCAAAGCTATATAAAAATTTGTTGGAAAAGAAACTTGAATCCATTCTATCCACTGACTTATAATTTCCTTGTGACATGGGACATAGCCATCGTTATTCAATGCACTCCTTTGGGAATCTTCAGAAGTGTCCTTTGGAAGCAGAGTCTGAGAGACGCTGGATTGGACAGAATATTTATAACAACTTGCTTTTAAAGAGAACCAGTTAGGATTCATAATGAGGCCATGAAAATCACCCTGCTTTGTGCCAACCTCTCTAAGAATCCAGTAAATCCGAGAAATCCTAGAACTCAAGGAAAACAGTGCAAATGCTCAGGCTGATGAGCTCGGCAGCAAGGCAAGATTCTGCTGCGCAGAGGACCTTATCATCTATCTTATTAAGTGACGGGACACTTCTGAGAGTGAAAGGGGCCCTATTAAAAATCATTCCAAGATAGCAGTTATACACACACAGCTTGTCCCTGCAAACCAGGACACACGGCCACATCCTCCGCAGGCAGTGAGCCCCTGAGATACTTCTGGGCAGCAGACAGTGCAAAGACTCAAGTGCTCACGCCTGCTGTCCAGCCTTCTCCACATGGTCGGTGAGGGAAGGGGGCAGGCTGGGCGTCTCCACACCCATGGGGACAGCTCAGAGGTGGGAAATGGGTGAGCAGATCAATGCCCTCACTGCAGCTGAAGAAACTGAATCTTCAGAACAAGCACTGAATTTTCCAAAAGAAAGTTTGGGAGTAAATTTGAGAGGAGGCCTCCAAAGCCTTCTTCCCATAATTATCAAAATGATTCAATCCGGTCCATGAGCAGGTCTTTAAATGGCTTCCTGTGCCAGGTGCGGAGGCCAGACGCTGGGGACCCAGGGGAGAACAGGAGCCATGAATGGGACAGACGAAGCTTTCTGCCCATACATGCAGTTTAGAGCAACCGGTCACAGACCAGAGGCAGCAGACAAGCCACGGGGCACAGAGGAGGGAAGGGAGGACTCCAGCTGGGGAGGCCAGGGATGCTTTGCTGAGGACAGCACGCCTGCGCTGAGCCCAGAAGGCGGGGCAGGAGGCTAAGAGGCAGGCAAGGAGGGAACACTGCTGGTGCAAAGAACGGGGTACACAGGCTCAGGGACATGCAATGAGGGGCAATTTGGAGACCACAGTAAATGCAATCAAGGGAGGAGCTGAGGAGGAGAACCAAAACTGGGGGCATATGTCAGGCCTGCCCTCAGTAACTGTGGGAGTTGCAGCAAGAACAGAGTGAAGGTCCCTGGCCCCTGACCCATCCTAACCCCCAGATCCCATCTCCTACCATAAAGGGCCTCATGAGCATGCATGTATGTGGCCAGCTCAGCCCGGTCCCTCCATGCCAGCTTGCAGATAGCCGCCCCTTGGCTATCCCTTGTGTGCACAACTAGGGAGAACAGATAGCTGTTCAGTCTCCCCCGGAGAAGACAGAACCAGGGAGGAGGTCCCACAGACCCAGAAGCAGGCTCAGTGCGTTTGGGCAGGTATTCCAGAATCCCAGGTAACCGGGGCATGGTCTCAAAAGGAATGCACAGGCTCTGGGTAGGTAGATCCCTAAGCCCCGTGGACTCCTGGGGGAGGGGTCCCTGGGGAGAGCCAGAGCAGGGTCTTCGAAAGTGTGGGGCCCAGGGCAGGGGCCGCCATTGCCCAGGACCAATGGCCATTCTTACCTGAACTTCACCCCTACTCCCAAATCCTGACCCCCCCTTTCATTTGCAGGGGATCTGGCCTTGCAGGCCTCCTCGATACCAGGAGTACGTTTACAAATGATCCTGCCAGACTTGAGGTGAGAGCCTCCTTGCTGGCCCTTTAAGAACCCTCTAAGTTCCAGAAGCTTCCCTCAACATGTGAAAATCCTTAAAACCTCATCTGGAGGTCCCATCAGAGCTCTAGACTCTTACCTGGAAAAGAAACCCATGCCCACCCCCACCGCCAAGGCTCTGATTCAACTGGCCCAGAAGGAGCCCAAGAGTCATAATTTGTTCAAGCTTCCAGGTTCTGCTGTGCATTCTGAGTTGACGACCTCCAGGACCCCCTCTGAGGTGAAGGATCGCCACTTCTGCCTACAGTTAGCACATTTTTTTTTTAAATACATGGACTCCCGTATTTTTTTATTTTTTATTTATTTATTTTTGGCTGTGTTGGGTCTTCGTTTCTGTGCGAGGGCTTTCTCTGGTTGCGGCAAGCAGGGGCCACTCTTCATCACGGTGCTCGGGCCTCTTACTATCGCAGCCTCTCTTGTTGCGGAGCACAGGCTCCAGACGCGCAGGTTCAGTAGTTGTGGCTCACGGACCTAGTTGCTCTGCAGCATGTGGGATCTTCCCAGACCAGGGCTCGAACCCATGTCCCCTGCATTGGCAGGCAGATTCTCAAACATTGTGCCACCAGGGAAGCCCCAGTTAGCACATTTTAAAAAAACCTATTTTGCCTTTTTTCCTTAGGATCTCATACCTTCTGTTCAGAAGTAGGACAATTTCTTGGAGACCTCCAGGAAATGCTCTGTTCCCAAACCTTCCTCCATACACTCTTTCTTGAGAGGAAATTCATGCATCTCTCCATCTATTCATCACACACACAGGATCCCAGGCCTCATGCCACTGGGGATACAGGGGTGAACAAGACAGACACAGTCCCACCCTCAGGGAGCTTCCATCCTCATAGGGGGAGACATGTTAAACAAGCATGACAATACGTTGCAATTATGATGGGTAATTTGAATCAAAGGAGGGCATATCTGGGCAACCTACCCTAATCATCAAGGGTCTTCCTTGGAGACCCAACATTGGAGCCAACCAGCAGGACAAGTGAGATTAACTGAGGGTGAGATTGGCCTGGGGAGGTGGGGGTGGCAGAGCGTCCCAGGAATGGAGTCTTGAGGGAAGAGACACCAAAACATCAATGTGGCTGGAGCGTGGAGAGAGGAGGGGGAGAGGGAGAGAGAGCGGGGCGGGATGGGACTAGGGAGGCCGGCAGAGCTCAGGCCAGTGGAGGGGAGGATTAGAGAGTGTATCAGTTACCTACTGCTGTGCAATTAGTTACCCCAAAATTTAGCGGCTTAAAACTACAAAAACATATTACATCACAGGATTTCTGAGGGTCATAAACCCACAGCACCTTACTTAGCTGAGTGGTCCAGCTCAGGGTCTCTCATGAGGCTACAGTCCCTGACGGCTCCAAGGGATCTGTTTCCAGGGAGTCTCACGCACTTGGCTGCTGCCTGGAGTCCAGGTCCTTGATTCCTGGGCCCCTGCACTAGGAGAGAACCCATGAAGTGGCAGCTGGCTTCTCCCAGAGTGAGTAATCTGAGAGGGAGGGCACCAAAAATGGAAGCCACAGTCTTTTATGACCTAATCTCAGAAATGACAAGCCATCCTTTCTGCCCTATTTCATTGGCCAGAAGGTAGTCTAAATCCAGTCCACACCCAAGAGAGGGTGTTACATGAGGGGGAGAATACCAAGATGTGGGGACCATTTGGGGTCCTCCAGGAAGCTGGCCTCACAGGGAGCATCATCAGATTCGTATCAAAAAAATCATGCACCCATAAAGGAATTTTCTGGAGTGATGGAAATATTCCATATCATGATAGAGGTTATACAAATGTAAACCTTTGCCAAAATGCGTTGAAGTGTAAATCTTAGATGCATTGTCGTTTAAAAAGATTGCTGCTTCTGGGAAGATGGAGTAGATATACTTTTCTCTGTTCTTCCTGTTGAGTACAAATAAAAATCCTGAACATTTTATATATAAAATAAACATAAGAAGATTCTGAAAGGGGGAGAGAAGGTGCAGACCAGCTAGGCACCTGATGACGACATGGGTTTTCTTTTTGTCTCGTAGACCCCAGCTTTGGAACTAAAGAAGGCAACAATCTGAAACATCAACAAACGCGGACCCAAAAAGTCCTAAGAGAAGCCCACTTTCTCTAGTCAAAGGACCAGGAAAGGGGCATCCGCAAGATAGAAAACTTTTGGACAATAACCGCCCTACTCCAGCCAAACACCATAGAAAACCTGTGGTCACACAACCTGGGTGAATCCCCAAAGAACTATGCTGAGTGGAAAAAAAAAAAAAAGCCAATCGCTAAAGGTTACACACTGTATGATTCCACTTATATAACAATCTCGAAATGACAAATTTATACAAATGAAGGAAAGCTTAGTGTTAATCTAAGAACAGTGGGGGAGGGGGAAGGAGAGGGAAGACAGTGCAGCTATAAATGGCAGCGTGAGGGATCCTCGTGGAGATGGCAGTGCTCTGTGTCCTAACTTTCCTTGTCAGCACCCTGGTGGTGACACTGTACTACAGTTTTGTGACTGTTAGGGTGCAGGGTTCCCTCTGTATTGTTTCTCTCTGAGTGTATTACTTCTAACACTTGCATGTGAATCTACAATTATTTCAACATAAAAAAAATTATTTTAAAAAAGGGCCACATATGTTATGATTTCACCTATATGGCATTCTGGGGCAAAACAAAAAAGGGGCAGAAGAAGATCTGTCTTTCAGGAGCTGAGTGTGGGCTTGACTTTTAGGTGACTCTAAAGGGGCAGCGGGAAACTTCCTGGAGTGACAGAAATGTTCTAGGCCTTGATTGTGGTGGTGGTTCCCTGAGTATACGTGGTTATCAAAATTCAGAACTGTGCACTAAAAAGGATGAATTATACTGTATATAAATGATACCTCCATGTACCTGTTTTTTTAAAAGATCGTTATGTCCAAAGAAGTGATTTTCCTCATCTCTTTGGCCTCTGAAACTTTTCTTCAAAGGAAATCTCACGTGGATTTTTTAACCTGTAAAACAGATAAAATTGGGAGTCTGCACTTGAATTGCATAGGGGACGCCCTGTGCCCCATCATCACAGGTAGCCCCAATGCCTCAGGAAGAGTTGAAGAATGCTGTTCTAAGTCACAAGAAAAAGGCTCGTCAAATCCCTGGCTCTGTGAGTTGTGGGACCCAAGGGGTGACCTGAGGAAAACGGCTCCAATTTGTGAGCTGGGTTTCCTAGTCAGCAACTTGGAAACTCTGAAGGCAGTTCCATACTCCTGGGTGTCAGGTTGAGGCAGTGAATCTCCACTGTGAGCTGAGAGCAGCACTGACTGGTACCCGAGAAGGGCCGGCGGGGAGTGGTGTTAATAAAAAGTGGTCGTGTTAAAAAGAGGCCCAGAGGCACTCAAGTGAAAATCAGCGTACTGCCTTGGTAGTCCTGGAGGGATGCAAGAGTCCCGAAGTCCTGAGAGAGCAAGCTGTGGTTGTTGCAAGTGGGACAGCCCCTGCCAGCTTCCCATACCCACTGGCTTTCTGTCTGTCCCTGCCCCAAATGGGAAACGGAGGGGAAATGGCTTACCTTACAATATCCTTAGAAGCAAGAGGCTCTCTTGAGGCACCTATATTTTTTAGCTCCATCCTTGAAGAGAATCTCCCAAAAAAGGGATTCCGGTGGATGCTTCTGGAATTGGTTCTGTCAACACTGAGTCTGCACCTTCTGGATGACCCGGTGAATCCTGCATCCTCTGACTTACCCCAGATTCCCAGCTGTCACCTTTAGAGCCTCCTTCTCTTGGGTGCTTTTTTCCTGAACCAGTTTTAGGTGATGGAAATTCGTGAGTTTGGTGTTGACAAAGAGGGTCTCTCAAAATTGCCTCATACAGTCAAAGAGTAGAGCACAGACCACTCAGATCTAAGAACCAGAGACTAGGGGATGAGACCGTCCTTTGCCAGACTCACAGCTTCACTGGCTCCCTTCAGTACCTGGTAGACATATGCTGCAAAGGAACGTGTTTGGAGACAGAAGTTGCCCGGTCACCGTGGTGATGAAGATGTGCTACTTGCATCATACAGGGCATCCTATATATTTAGCAACAGCAATTAGAAAGGCTGCAGTTGCATTCAGCTGGGGCACATGACTGGCTGGTCTGAGCATCTTGAACAAGATGCAGTCCCCACAGAAGGGCCTCGATGAGATTTTGGTGATGTCTGAAGACCTCCCCGTGACAGAGTCCAGTCTTTCTAATGAGCCTGATTTGGGGGACGAAGCTCTAATGAGCCTGATTTGGGGGAGGCAGCATGGTAGAGCAAGCCTGTGTGGCTAAGACACTAAACAAGGATGGAAGTAAGGTTGTGGATGCCAGAGATATTTAAACAGTGGAATAGTTTTCCAACTTCCAATTCCTGGAGCCACATTAATGAGACGAAAGACTCTCCAAGAACTACTAATTTTACTGCATGACCCAGGTTCCCATTTGTTCTCCTTGCAACGAGATGAAATGTTACTATCTTAGCAGTCGTATAGTGGGAATGCCTCAGGAAAATTCTCTCCCTGGGGCCTGAGACTCCCTCATACTGCTTGCTATTTAATGATTTTTTTCTCTTATTTTGAAAACAGCTGAGATTAATAATCTTCTATGCTGGGTAGAGGGGGTGATGGGTAGTAATAATATTTTGATTATTTACTGTATACCAGGAAATACACAAAATGCTTTACATTTATTTATTTTAAAGGGTGAGATTCATGTAGCATACGATTAACCATTTTAAAATGTACAATTCAGGGGCATTTAGTGCATTCACAAATGTTGTACAACTATCACCTCTTTCTAGTTTCAAAACTTTTTCATCATCTCAGAAGAACATCCTGTACAATCAAGCAGTCACTCTCCATTGCCCCTCCCTTTGTCCCCTGGTAACCATTAATCTGTTTTCTGTTTCTGTGGATTTACCTATTCTGGATATATCTTAGGAAAGGAATCATATGATATGTAACATTTTTGTCTGACTTCTTTCACTTAGTGTAATGTTTTTGAGGGTCATTCAAGTTACAGCAGATATCAGTACTGCATTCCTTTTTCATAGCTGAATAGTATTCCACTGTATGGATATACTACAATTTGTTTATCCACTACTCCACCGATGGCACATATATTATTAACTCATTTAATCCTCTTTACAGTCCTATGAATATTTTTGTTTGCTTTTTACAGAACAGGAAACTGAGGCGCAGAGAAGTGAAGTGACTTGCCCAGAGTCATACGTATAGGACAAGGTAGCATAGGGACTGGAACCCAAGCAGTTTGGCTCCCTTCAGTGCTCTGCTTCCCCACAGAAATGCTGCTTCTGGGGGCAGAAAGTGAAACTCTAACAATACATGTAAAAAACAAACAAACCAAAAAAGTTAGTGAAGCTATTGCAAATGTTAGTTATTTGTTCCTAAGAAGGAGGGGAAAAACAAAAAAGAGAGAACAGGAAAGGAAAGGGAAGAGCAAGAGGAGTCAGACAGAGAGAAGGAACAGGGCTACTGCGGGTGCTGCAGGAAGTGAGAATTTCTCAGGACGAACATGGATTTCAAATAGTTGCAGCCAAAGTTCTGGTACATGCAACCATTTGCTTTCATCGTCACATCAGAGGGACTGAGAAAACAGGAGGAAGTGCTGGGCCCCTGGTTTGGGTCGAAGGAACTGCAGAAATAGAGAACAGCCACAAGCTGCAGAGAGGAGAACAAAACTGAGCAAAGAAACGAATTTAGTGGGAAGTTGATCATGAAAAACTGTCAGGAGTTCAGAGGAATCTTGCCAAGTCTGTGGACTTCTACAATCAATGGGAAAAGGTTAGAATTAAGCTTATCTAGATCTCGAGAGGTCCTGAGACCACAGTCGATATCTGGGTTATACTATATGAATTAAACATCTTTCCAATGAGGAGCTGCCTGGTGCAGCGTTTCGTGAGGCACAAATGAGATGACATCTGCTTTCTCATAAATACATCATGTGTTGGGAAAAATGGAGGAGGTGGAAACACAGTTAAGTCTGTAAGGAAGCTGTGGAACTAAGGTTGACAGAGAAAATCTCACAACTCCCATTGTAGAGGTCACCAAAATCCACAGAGCCCGAAGAACCAAAGAGTAAATCCATTAGTCACAGAAGTCCAAACCAGTCACCAAAACAAGGCCCCAACTCAGGCCTCTGAAGGCAGAGTGTGGATCTAGGGGTCTTTGATTCCCCCGGGAAGCACTGACAATGCAGAAGCCGGCCTGGGAACCCCCTGCAACAGACATTTGTGTGTGAGCCGAGGACTCAGTTGGAGAATTGGCCACATTCAAACAGTCAAGCAATGATGAATGAATTATTAATTCAAGCCCAAACCAAAACTAAGTCATAATCATTAATATTGCAATAGAATTAACTCCTGACTTGTTCACATGGACCATTAGCCATCCCTGGTGCATGCTGAGAGAAACGTCATCCTTCCAGATTGCCAAGATGGAGACTGAAGCTACCTCAGTGTTTTCTGTCTGAATGGGGGCTCTGAACAATACAAATAATTGACATAGTATCCAATGATGTCAATCCGCTAATCTTATATAACCCTCGCTGGAGGTAGTGCTTGTAACATGACATGATTTTTCATCTTTTCTCCCTTCCTCTACTTTGATGTATATGTTAACTGAGAGAACTGGCTGAGAAAAGATGGAAGGAGGGTCGAAAAATAATCGTCTGTAAACGGGATGACCAGCTGCCAAGTAACCAAGAGCCATCCGTCCTGTGTCAAGGATCCTTTATGCTTATTTCTAAACCATGGGCCATGAGTTAAGCAGAGCATTATTGATATCAGACCCAGCAGTAACGGAGCTCACATTCTTAAACTCCACTTCCAAAAGAGGCACACACTATTATTTTATTTATTTTTTGTACATATACTTCCATATATTACATTTATTTGTTTCCATTATAAAACCCTTAAAAGACATGGAAAACTATTAAATATCAATTTATCAACTGCAGCGTGGAACAGCCACTTCTGACATGACCTGCTGTAATAGAACAAGACAGAGTGTGACCTTTTGGAGCAGTCAGATTCCTTTACTGAATACGTGGAAGTTGGAGGGGAAAAGGGAATGTGCAGACAGATGCTGTTTCCTTCCATGTCTGCATCTCCTCCCACCACAGTTTGATATAAAGCATCCCAAGCCCTGAGATGAAATCCCATGACACTGGTAGGATCAGAACTGCGACTTAATATTTTCAAGTTCATAACAGGAGCTTACTTCAGCAGCATCTTGAATCTGCCTGGAGTGTAGAACTGAAAGTTTACAAAATGGGGACAACTCAGAGCTTATTACTTATTTGATTTCAGTCTGGTTTGATCTCTGCTTCATCCCTTAAGCAGGGAGATCTGGTCCTGTTATCTCCCTTCTACAGAGGAGGCTGCTGAAGCTTACTTATAATGGTTACAGTGATCAGTTCAAGTTCACAGATTAAATTCAGAACCATGATTTAAATCCAAGACTTGTGACTATTAGGCCACCGTCATGCCCATGGCCCTTCTTCCTTATCATTTGCTACTGTCCCAAAAGAGGGCGACATGTGGCCACCCCCATCAGATATTGTCCATATTTTTTTTCCTGCTGCCCTGACCCTTGTTCTAACTATGAACTGAGTCCTTTTTTTTTTAAACTATTTTTTTAAATTATTTTAAATTGTGGTAAAATGTACATAACATAAAATTTACCATCTTAACCATTTTAAGTATACAGTTCAGGGGTATTAAGTACATTCCCATGTTGTGCCAGAGCACACACTATTCTTAATTGACCAATGGATTTTAAGTAAAAACAACACAGAAATGCTGGGCTTTAGAGCTTGTCATCTCTCCTGCTCACAAAACAAATATTGGAAATAATTGCTTTTAATATGCATCAGGCAAAAATCTCTGATGTGAACAGTCCCCGCTGGACAGTTCCAGTGACCTCTGGACTGGCCTCCAGGTGCCACTGCCCCAGTCCACCCCTCAGCCTGCTGGGTCCAGTCCCCACAGCCCTGGCTTAGGCATGCTGGTCCCTGTACCGAAAACTCTAATGGATCCTCACGCTCTATAGTGCAAGTCTATGCCCCTTAGGTTAGCATTCATAAATCTATCGAGTGCCTCCGATGTTGCTGTGGAGCCACTACTAACTATTGCTTCCCTATCTGCTAATGACTGCTGCCATGTGTGAGCCCTTCCTATGTGCTCAACACCGTAGGAAGAGACTTGGTCATCTCATTTAATCCTCTCATCAAAGTTAAGAGTTGTAGGTGTTGCTGAAATCAGTTTACAGGTCAAGAAACTGAGATGAAGCCGAGTCAGGCACTTTACTCACGGCTTCATTACTGGTTACGTGGGCTCCTGTTTAGCCTCTTGTTCACCTTCCAGCTCCTGTCATAAAATGGGGTGGTCGTGTTTTTATCTGTCATAGCACCCCTCAATCTCAGGGGAGAAACTAGCTTCAAACCCAGACTTATTGGGAGAGAAAAAAATATTTTAGCAGCCTAGAGCAAATGTAAATTGGTAAAGGAATCTGTGTTGATAAACAGAAAAGCTACATATTCTGTGACTCAGCCATTCTACAACTAGGAATAAATACATCCTGAGGAAATCAGAACCATGAGTACACATTTGTCTGCAAGGATGAACACTGGAGCATTATTTATATTAGTGAAAACAACCCTCAAGTCCAATAATAAAGGGCTGATTAAATTATTCATATAGTTTATACACATATCCATATTATAATAATTGTTAAGATATACTAAGTGCTTACCACTCATTGTTTCAAGGGCTTTATTGGTATTAACTCATTTAAACCATGTGGTGGATTACAGTATGATCCTTAAAATGCGATTGCACAGGAATACTTATGGCTTGAGAAAATGTTCATGATCTTTTTTTTTGGCTGAGCCACGTGGCTTGAGGGATCTTAGTTCCCCGACTGACCAGGGATTGAACCAGTGCCCCCTGCAATGGAAGCACGGAGTCTTAACCACCAGGGAAGTCCTGTTCATGATCTATTGTTGAATGAAAGAAGCATATTTAAAAATTATGTTTAAAAACTATAAGTTTATAGCAGCTTTATTCATAATTGCCAAAATCTGGAAGCAACCAAGATGCCCTACAGTAGGTGAATGGATAAATAAACTGTGGTACATCCAGATAATGGAATGTTATTCAGTGCTAAAAAGTAATGAGCTATTAAGCCATGAAATGACACAGAGGAAACTTAAATGCATATTTCTAAGTGAAAGAAGCCCATCTGAAAAGGCTACATACTGTATCATTCCAACAATATGACATTCTGGAAAAGGCGAAACTATAAAAACAGTAAAAAGATCAGTGATTGCCAGGGTATGGGGGGTTGGTGGGGAGTGATGCCAGGTGGAACACAGAGGTATTTAGGGCAGTGAAAATACTCTAAATGATACCATAAGGATGGATACAGGTCACTATACATTTGTCCAAACTCATAAAATATACGATGCCAAGAGTGAACCCCAAAGTAAACAAACTATGGACTTTGGATGATAACAATATGTCAGCGTAAGCTCATCCATTGTAACAGACGTCCCACTCTAGTGTAGGATGTTGACAACATGGGAAGCTGTGCATATGCTGGGGGCAAGGGGGTATATGGGAAATCTGCACCTTCCCCTCAATTTTTCTGTGAACCTTAAACTGCTCTAAAAAAAAGTCTTAAAAAAAAACTACATAGTAGAAGTAAAATGATAGTAATTAGGTCTGAGAAATGGAATTACTATTTTTTATTGTCTTCTTTGTAATTTGGAGAATATTCCACAATAATAATCACTTATTACTTTTTTAAAAAACTGATTTAAAAATAAACACATAGTCAAGGTATTAGATGGCACCTGAGGACCTGATGGCCAGAACATCAGGCAAGGTCACTGATAAATAAGAGAGTGAGCCCGGCTGGCACATTGGCCAGGGAGCCAATGACCCTGGGGCTGACCACAGGGGCCCTCAGCAAAGTGACCCAACAAGGGCCACTCTGTGCTGTGGGCCCCGCCTACTGCCCTATTTGCTCAGAAGTTCTGCTGCTTTGAGGCCCTGGCACTGGGTCACCAGGGAGGACTCCAGTCACTCTGGCCAGCACTAAAAACAGAGTTCAGGGCCTGACACACTCAGGACCAAGATCAAAGGTCTTATTCTAGCTGTGAGAGGACTTCACTGCCTGGCTCCTGCTGATTTTTTGGACTCAGTTTTCCACGGCTCTGTGTCACAGAACTTCACTCCAGAAAGACCATTTTCTCCTAACTTTCCTATGTACCCATCATGCACTTTCCTCCTCCTGCACGCTTTCCAAACTTTCCTTTCCCACCCTCTGCTCCAAATATAACCTTTCTTTATTTCAAGTCTGTGGATGATGCTGATGAAACATGATAATGTTGATGCAAACTGCTCTAAACTTAGGTGTAATCACAATAATAACAGCTACAATTTATGTAGCAGTTAGTGTGTGTTCTTTAAATACACTGAATCCCACTTAATCTTTACAGCTCTTCTGTGGGCAAGTACCAGTGTTCTTCCTTACAGATAATGTATTGAAGACTCAATGAGGTGAGTTCATTGTTTACTTGGGCATGGCAACTTATAGGCAATGTCCCAGGGGAGGCATCACATGGCCCAGGAAAGCCCACGACTTTCGTCTGATTTCACCCCAGGACTGGGGTCTCAGCACACTGAGTGGCCCTGGGCTCAGCCAGGCCCCTATGGCCTGCTCAAGGCTTGGCAGAGAGGAAGAGTGATTCAAGAGTATGGACCCAACTTGAGCAGCTGCATTGAAAAGATCGCTAGAAATAGTTTCTTTACATACACACTAATTCCTGAAATCCTTTTCTTAAAGGATGTGGCATTTTTCTTGGGAGATGGTATTTATGAAAGAGTATATGACTACACATTGTTTGTTTACTTTGGTGTTCATATGTAGGAGTTGACCAAATTCAGGAATCATCACCTTCACAGGTACTCTGGATAGAGGATGAGTGAATTTAGTTCACACATGTATGCCACACTCCTTATAACAATTCATGCATTAAATATGTGTGAATTGAGCCATATTTCAAAATGTGCCTATTAAGTCTGATAGTTAAGGGAATTCTGCTGTGAATTAGTTTTAAAGTAAGGACCTTTTTAAAGTAATTAGTCCCTAAGTTTTTTTGGTAACAACTTTATTGAGATATAATTCACTTACCTTACAATTCGTGCATTTAAAATGTAATTTCATGCAATATATGGTCTTTTGCAACTGACTTCTTTCATTTAGCATAATGTTTTCAAGTTCATCCATTGTTATAGCATGTAGCAGACGTCTTCCCTTTTTATAACAAATAATGTTCCATTGTATGGCTACATAACATTTTGTTGTCCATCACTTGATGGACATTTGGGTTCTTTCCAACTTTGGCTACTATGAATAATACTGCTATGAACATTCATGGTCAAGTTTTTTGTGTGAACATATGTTTTCAATTCTCTTGGGTATATACCTAGGAGTGAAATTGCTGGGTCAAATGGTAGCTCTATGTTTAACTTTTGGAGGAATTGCCAGACTATTTTCCAAACTGGATGCACCATTTTACATTCCCACCAACAGTGTGTGAGGGTTTTGCTTTTTCCACATCCTCACCAGCACTCGTTATTATCTGGCTTTTTATTAATAGCCATCCTACTGGGTATGAATTGGTATCTGGTTGTGGTTTTGATTGGCATTTCCCTGACAACTAGTGATGTTGAGTATCTTTTCCTGTGCTTATGTATTTATATATCTTATGTGGACATATGTCTATTAAGATCCTTTGCCCATTTTTTAATTGGCTTATTTGCCTTTTTATAATTAAGTTGTAAGACATGGGGAATATAGCCAATATTTTGTAATAACTGTAAATGGAAAGTAACCTTTAAAAATTGTATTAAAAAATTTAAAAATAATTAAGTTGTAAGAGTTCTTTACATAGTCTAGATACAAGTCCCTTATCGGATACATGATTTGCAAATAGTTTCTTCCATTCTGTGAGGTATCTTTTTACTTCTGGATGGTACCCTTTTAAGCACAAAAGTTTTAATCTTGATGAACTCTAACTTATTTTTTCTTTTGTTATTCATACTTTTGGTGTAAGAAACCATTGCCAAATCCAAGGTCATAAAGATCTGTCCCTATGTTTCCTTCTAAGACTTTTCTAGGGACTTCCCTGGTGGCACAATGGTTAAGAATCCACCTGCCATTGCAGGGGACACTGGTTCGAGCCCTGGTCCAGGAAGATCCCACATGCCACAGAGCAACTAAGCCAGTGCACCACAACTACTGAGCCTGCCCTCTAGAGCCTGTGAGACACAACTACTGAAGTACACACGCCTAGAGCCCATAGTCCACAACAAGAGAAGCCACTGCAGGGAGAAGCCCGTGCACCGCAAGGAAGAGTAGCCCCCCATTCGCCACAGCTAGAGAAAACCTGCATGCAGCAATGAAGACCCAACGCAGCCAAAAATAAATAAATACAAAGAGTTTTAAAATTTTAGTTCTTACATTTAGGTCGTTGATCCATTTGAGTTAATTATAGGTCCAAGTTCATTCTTTTGCATGTGGATATCAATTTGTTGAAAAGTCTATTCTTTCCTCATTGAATTGTTTCCTCACTCTTGTAATTCAATTGACTGTACTGTGAGAGTTTATTTCTGGATTCTCAGCTCTATTTCATTGCTACCAAGTTCCTTTATTATTTCCAAAGGACACTTGGTGTTAGCTGGGAACAGAAATCGCCCTGGCTGAGCCGTTCAAGGAGCTTAGAAAGCATCTTTTTCCATTTGGTCAGTAATGTCACTAGCAAGGCCTCTTTCAGGTTACCTGTTGCAGTGCCTCCGACCTGGGATTCCTGTCGCAGAGATCAAGCCGGACTGAACCCTTCAATTGTGCGGGAGGAGAGCGGAGAAGCCCGGCGACCTAACAGAGCCGCTGGAGGGCGCCCCATCTCGCGCTCCGCGCTTCCTGGTGTCCTTCCTCCCGGGTGGAAATAAGGGTCGCGGGGGCCGCCTGGATTTCTTCGGCTTTTGCAAATGTCCAAGTACCCCAAACCCCTAGTTTTCCCGGTACTCTTTACCATAGGCGAGGGTCCCCGAGGCTGTGCTTGGGCAGGACCTTAGGACCTCGGCGACAGGAGGCAGGAAGGCGCAGCCCCCATGAGCAGCCGGCAGGGGAAAAGCCGCGGTCCCCAGTGCGGGACCGCCCCCACGCCTCCCCAGACCCCAGATCACCCAGTGGTTTGCGGGGCCGAAGCTCTCCCGCTGCGCCTGCGACACACTGGGCCCCAGCAATTGCGAAGTTTGTGATCCTGGGGCGATCTCTTCTGGCTCACGAGGTCTGAAAAGCAGGCCAATTAGCTGTGGGATGGAAAACAGTTTTTTCTGCCAAAGAGAGTTATTTCCAGTAGATTCTTACGTGGCCTGTTTGTGCTTCTGCTCTTCTCTCTATTCAGCTGGCCTTCTGCCACAGAGGCATTGGCTAAGCAGTATTTGAACGGATGTGACATTAACATTTCCCCATGTCAATAAGAATGGTTCAAAAGTAGCATTTTTATCCGTGAAAAATATTACATTGTCTGATTGTATGGTAACTGACGTTTAACCATGTCCTCCAGAAAGAGACTGGGACCTCTGTGGGGCACAGGCACTCGGTTCCTAACAGACCTCCTTGGATGAAGCTGTGTGTCACCGGCATTGGTGTACTGTCACCAGCACTACAGTCACGCCCCATCTCCCCAACTGGGACAATCCACAGGCAACTCCCATCACTTCAGGGTCAGTGGCCAGGTGTGGCCTGGCCCTCAGTTCGGGTTCTTCTGTAAAATCCGCGAAGCCTGACAGGCTTTGGGCTACAGAAAAAGACAGTTTTCCCAATGGGGTGTGTTAAGATTCTACACT